ACGATATTTATTTTTTTAAAGTTCTAATACTTTCCTATATGTGTAAAATATGTAAAAACTGCAGTTTTCAAGATGGCTGATGACTGTAAAACTGCGGCAACAATTGCGCCAATGTAAATCTCCAAAAATCTGTGCAACTGTCTACCAAAGTAGGACCTAATTTTTTTCTTTTGAAAATTTAAGATAAAATATCATTTATTATACTTTGCTTTTCAGAGTCTTTTGTTTTTTTGTATTCTTTTATGTTATTTATTGCTTATTTCACTGTTTCTAAGATAATGAAAAGTTTTGAGTGATTTTTTTTAGGAAACAAGTTCTTAAATCCTTTATAACATTTGAGTTCTAAAGTTTGCAAAGGAATTTAATTTATTTATTAGGATATAATATTTGTATTAAGGGATATTGCTTATTTCATTGCAATTTGTTATCGTAATACATTTTTTTTATGACTTTTTCTGCAGAGTAAAATTCTATGGGTTTTTAATTTAACGTTTTTTTCCCTTCAGCCATTTTTCCGGTACACTTAAAAGCCAGACGAAGGCTGGCAGCAAAGCTGCTAGTATGTAACAAATATGTGTTAAAGCATAAATAAAAATGGAGGGGGAGTCTCTTTAGCGTACATTTATCATTAAAATATTTGTTTGTATCACAAACTATAAGAAGTACAGGTCAAACAGAATGAATTAAAGAAGAACATTAAAGTGAGCTGGTAAATAAAGTTAACTTTCGATACATCTTGCTAAAAATTAAATTTACTAGTTAAGGAATTGTTAATGCTACATAACTTCTAGGTTAATTGTAAGCTCTGTTTACACTCATACTTACAAGATGGCCTTAGTACGATTGCCCTCACTCGTGACGTCACATAAGGAGAGAACCCCTTTGGATTCGGCCTTCTCCCATCAAGAAGGCCTTGATCACGCTTCACTCCATCAGCTATTTCTTCTCCATACGAAACGTTACGTCTCTGTTTCGCCCTCGCTCGTGACGTCACATCATGGGAGAACCCTAACTCCATCAGCTGTTTCATCTCCATAGCAACCATTCATGCCTAGCGCGTATCACTTTCTCCCTCCTGCTCTGAGTTACCAGCAGTCAAGACACAATGAAGGGCTAAACGCTCTTCTATTCTGACAACTGCTTGTACTCTCTGCCTGTGTCCTAAAAATGAACTCCTTAGCGACTTTTTGACTACAGCTTAGTGGCTTTTCCTTCCACCTTTAGCAAATTGCTTCTCCTCTCAATTATTTCAATTTTCATTAATGATGATGTGGAGGTAATTGCAATTTTTTGCAAAGGTACTCCATAACCAAACGCCTTGGCCCTAAAAGATAATGAACAGGAGATAAATTCTCAAGACGAATGTTAACCAAACGTATGCGGAACCAGGAAAAAAAATTTTATTCAAAACTTTTTACAGTACACCAAAAAAAGTCTCATACTAAGAGTTAAAGAGAAATCATTCTCCTTCCTTTTTGCTTTCATACGCTAAGTTTCCAAATGTCTGGGGAATCAGCTGCAGGTCTCGGCTGACTGTTGGAACCTATTCTGTAGCTATTTTTAATAATTTGTCAAAAAGAAATTGAAGTTTTTCAGATAAAAAACAGCAAATCTCAGGGAAATTTGAAATCATCAGTACTGGTACGGCAGAATTTAGGTATAGCAAAATGTTAGAATTTAGTGAAGCATCCAAGCAATAAAACTTTTAGAATTTATGGGGAGGGCACTGGGAAGCAGAATTTATTGCCTTACAAAGAAGGCAGCAAAATGTCTAGTGCCGTACCTACTTCATGATACAGTATTATACCAATAACACATAACTTATTTGAGTACAAGTTCAAGGAAATATTTTCTACCTATTAAATGAAATCAGTAAGCCATTATCTTTGAATCGTTACCCGATTACATCGTTAGTAATGTGTGGTAACTTTTGAAAGCAATCACAAGCCGTCTGTCTAGGGTCTTTACATCACAATTCATTTTTATTTTTTCCAACGTGATATACAGTAGTAAATGTTCTCTATTTGAGCTTAAAGCTATATTTGAATATAAAGATAAGAAACACATAAGTGAATTACTGTTGTTGATATTTACTGATCATGATGGCAATCAACCAAATGCATATACAGTCTTCTAAAGTTTGATTTTTTCAGGCTTCATACAGAAACTAGGTTCCTGTTAGTCACATAACGTGGTGTCCTAAATTTGCGATGACAGATGAAATTAAACTAGTTCTGAATTGGCTCACTCGAGAGAAGATTTTTTCTCTTTCCCGTCAACATAGCATGTTTATAACTCCCAATGATGGCGATCTCTAACTAAAAATGTTATGGATTAGAAGCCTGACAGGGCTTTGCACTCCATAACTTTTTCTTTATTTAGTTTATCTGCATGCAGGCTTGGATATGAAAGAAATTTGAAAAGACATTTTTAATTAGATTATACGAATGTATCCCCCACACATTTATTTGTTGAACTCTAATTATCATTTGGAACGCAGTGCTAGAGCCGTTGCAGCCGCATATGGCGACATTTTTTTAGAATTTAGAGAGGTTGATTATGCCAAAGCAGGTGAATTTGGAACCCCACAAAACTGCTCATATAGCCAACTCATTCATTGAGGCTTGAACTCGGGTGGAACTACCAGTGTTCGGCGACTTTAGCACTCGCCTAGAATTTAGGAAGGAGCTGAATGTTAGAATTGTGTTAAGCTCTTTGAATATAGGAATGAAATTTCGGAGCATAATTATCTGCGACACTCCGATAAACATGGTATATGTAGAGATGGAAAAATAATAAAAAAGAAACTTATTATTCAAACACTTGTATTTATTAGTAAACATTTTATAAAATTTACTCTTAATTCAGCATTTATAAATTCTCAGAGAGTTATGTCATCGGAGTATTTTTCTTCCTCAGGTAATTTAATATAATTGAGTTGGGGAAGAGATGCCCTGTGGAGGTCTTTTTAGGGAAAACTGGCTCGAATCGACGTTACACATGGGGAAAACCACGAAAACGTCCATGCAGCCTGCCCGTTCGCTGAGACTCGAACCCCAGATCGAACTACCAGTGTTCAGCGACTGTTTACTACTCGGCCGCTGGTGGGCCTTTGCCTAGTTTTGAATTTCAAGTTACCGGTCTTCGGTTGCAGTAGCGCCGAATGATAAAGATTTTATGAGAATACAGCAAAGCATCTTTTTAGAAATGCTGTTATAATTTTGCTATTTTGTTTTTTATAGGAGGGCTAGGAAAAAGACAGGGTAGTAAATCCAGTAAGGGCAACATGTTCTGTTTCGTATTTAGCGAATCCCCTTTGAAATGAGGGGTCAAGTGGTAAAGTCGCTGAACACTAGTAGTTCAGTTCGAGGCTCTAATCCCACAAATGAGCTGGCTGAATGAGTGTTTTCATGTTTTTCCCCACATATAGCATGTATAGGAGCCAGTTTTCCTTAGAAATTCCTACATGAAGACATCCTTGTCCTTAGGCAAATAGCCCTCGAGGCTTTGCCATAATAACATAAACCAAAACAAACCGAACTCAGATGACAATTCAGTGTTCGAGATAGTTTTAGGCTTCGGTCATCTTAGATCGTACCGATGTTTATGTTCTGGTTATTAAAAAATACTGGTTATTTTCAAAGTGGCCATCCTAGAAAAGTGATTGCCAAAAAGTATTCACTACACTTATTTATACATTATGTATAAATGTATTCTGATTAGTGAATCTATTTTCTAACTTTATATATAAATTACTAATGCTAAAATAAAAATTCAATTTCAATACTCTATTTCCCATTTGTTTCTCGACAATGAAATAGATTTATACACAGAAAATCCAAATGCATCCCTACAGGAAGATAATAAACCAGCTCAGTATGTAACTAGACTTACATCCGGAAAGGACAATATATATATATATATATGTCATATATCGTCTCTTCCGTATGTATATACAGTACAAAGTCCATAATCCGGACGTCCATTTTCCGTAATGATCTATAATCCAGACCTCAAAGCCACAAATTTACGCATGCGCGTTTGATGAGCGTGTCCGCTACGCATGCGCGTAAAGCCAGTAAAGCGTTTACCCATGCGCGCTTACGATATTGAAGAAAGTAACAGAGAACGTTATTGAAAACGAAAAAAATTTCAATTGACAAGTTAGTCAGTATTCTTGACACAGCAATTACAGGATTTGAACAGTGGAACTTTGTAACCGAACAAGAAATTACGTCTGTTTTAAAGTAAGAGAAATGGACACTAAAAAAGCAACTTTAACAACTTAATTAAAGAAATTTTTAATCCATAAACAAATAAATATTAAGCTTTTTTATTGTAAATTTTGATACCCTTTAGATCCATGCTCTTATTCATAATTACGGTTCATATTTAAATTGTATAATTTCTGCATGCTATCTACGAGATTAAATTGATGATCTATTATCAGATAAACCCCAATCCGGATCGAAGTCAGACTGTCCGGATTATGACTTGCACTGTATATATACAATTTCTCGAGTAGACATAATATGGTACTCATACAGTCTTTTATGGACGTCCATATCTGAATGATCTATATCCGGACCTCAATCACAAACTTCTGCGATGGTTGCCTTTACCATGCACGTTTAATGACGGTATTAACTAGGCTAAAATATCTAATATCTATTTCATAATGTTGCAGATTCGTTCCTTAATCTTCTAATTGGATCTGGCTTATATTTTTTTTCGACTGTTAGAGCAATTTTTAAAAGTGCTGAACTTTCGATTATATCAAAAAGAGTTCTGATTCTGGAGCTCAGGATCTAAGCAAAAGCATGTTTCGATGTCCATCAAACGTGGAATTGCTGCAAAAAGGGAAAGACATGAAGAAGTGACAGAAGTTAGAAAATGAAAATTCGACTGAAGTTCTCGGTATTTTGACAAGTCGGTATTTGACCACGACAGTTCCATACAAATCGAAAAGGGACACTTTCGCTTGAAAACTTCATAGTGGAGATTTATTTTAGTGACATTTATGCAAAAATCACATCTTGGTTTTTTTCGATAACTAACACAGCGATTTTGATTATATTGTTTATAAAATTCTAAGCGTTGAAGTACAAAAATATAGATTTTAACAAAATTTAGCTTAAGCATGAAAAATACCTTACGGTACCTTTAAATTCATACGTCTTTTGATCCCTTGATAGAGTATTTGCTACTTATTTTATGTTCCAATCCAAAATATTTTTAAATAAAATAATTTTTTTCACACCACATACTATTGTAATGTACCTTTTAAAATTTTCGGAACACCGATATGCGCCGTCAATAATTTCTCGCCAATATTTTTGGCGAAACTTCACGCTGCCATATTACTATCTAATTTTTTTTTTACATTTAAACTTTAGCCTAAATGACAATTTCCCAAAAACAACGTTTTGAACACACGATTTACGCTAAAAATCCAACAAAAACAAAAAATTAGATGCAAAAACGTAAATTTCTAACCAAAATATTGCAGATCCAGTACACACGACATTTTTGAACTTAAAAAAACATCTACGAAGGCACACTGTAGGCAATGAACAATCTACAACTACGCACCTCGCTTTAATCATTAACTAACAATAATAAATTAAAGAATACCATGTCACAGCGTTCTGTTTCAACTTTAAAAAACTCACAATTGCACATTACACTAAAACAATCAAAAAAAACTAAAATAAATTCAGACATCAAAAAACAACAATAAAAAGGAAATCAACAAAACAATGAATAAACATCTGAAAAAAAAACAATAAAATAAAATGCACTACATATGAAGCTCTTTTAAAGCAGAAATATCTTTCCCCCCTATCTTCTCAATACAGAGCATACAGTCCAAATACATTGTTAATAAAATTTCCCAGTCCACAACGTCTGGAAGAAACTCCACGATTTTGCTATATAACATGCTTCTACGATCAAAATTTCGAAAGTAAAATAAAACTTCCTCCAACTTACTGCTACACGAAAACCAAGATCCAAACTAAACTCCGCTGACCCCACATCTTTATTAGCAACAATTTACTGCAAACCCACCAGTTATCATAACCCTTTTCGTCGAGTTCGCATATCACTCCGCATGACCGACACTCAAACTCCGTTTAACAGTCCCGACACCCACAGAAATTCCAAAATACCTACGATCCCCATAAATCATCCTGACAAAGACGCGTTAACAACTCCACATCGTACCTTTTCATACTAAATTTACTCTCACACAACTAATCGGGCTGAAACCTCCCACCCTTCTTTCATCGCACATAAAGGCCATTTAAAACACACGCGACACAC